TTTTTATTTAATTTATTATGCTCATTTGAAATCTGGTCAAACATAGCTTTGACTGCTCCAAACCCCTCCCAAACCCCGCTAACCCTAGCGCTGAATAAGGACCGTTCATCTAACCCTAGCGGTGATCAAGGGCCGTCGATCTAACCCTTCTAGAAGAAATCTGCGGGGAGGAGGGGGCGATCCGCGAGATGCAATCTGATTGGCTGGGAGATTATTTTTTTAACAAATATCGGACGCGCTGGATGGACCGTTGGGCCGTCTCGTTGTCTGGGCCTGAGATCGCAGTAAATAGCCCGTCTCAGCCTTTCCAGGCCTTGCATGCATGGAGGCGGCTACGTGGGTTTGCGCATGCGCGGGAGGCGGCGACGTGCATGCATGCGAGTGAGGCGAGCGAGGCGCGCTAGGCCAGCTAGGCGAGCTAGGCTAGCGAGGCGAGCTAGGTGGTTCAGGGCAGCGGTTCACATGCACTGCCCGGTCAAAGATGCATCGTTTTCGTGCAAAAATTTAAGTGTGCAAAACGTGACGGATACACACACGCGTCCGGATTCACGCACGCACCGTTCTCATCCTTTCTCTCTTCCTCTCCCACCCACAGGCCTATAAATGGGGTGCCTCTCTTCCTCTCCCACCCACAAGCCAGATCCGATCCTCTCCAACTTCAAACACCCAAGCGACCAAGCCCTCCCCAAGCGAGACCAAGTGAAGAAGATGCAGTTCAACGGGCCGACCTTCCGCCGTCCGCCTGTGGTGCCGGAGCTACGCTACCCACCGGGCGTGCTCATGGAGAGGGAGCTCCGTATGTGGGCTATTTCAAGGTGGAGGGGTTCCGTCGAACTCACCCTCAGAGCCGGCTATGCCCACCTCCCACGGGGCTCGCCGAGGATGTTCACCCTCAACGAGGTTCGTGACCGCGGCGGCATCCTCCTACTGCTCACGGTCACCTTCACCAACCCATTTGACGCGCACGAGCTCCTCGGCCAAGTCTTTTGGTGCGGCTGCGAGGCCATCTTCTTCACCATCTACAACATCTACACCAACTACGAGCGCATCTTCCCCGCTCCAGGCCAGATGCACTCCCTTCCCTACGACGACGAGGAGGAGGTGTGAAGATGAAGATGGTGTTGAAGGGGAGCGCGCGGCCAAGGTGGAAGAAGGAGGTCAAGATGAAGATGTTCAAGCCCGGAGTCAAGCTCGTCATGTTTGGTTTTTTATTTTGTTGCTTTTCTATGTCATGTCGTGTCGTGTCATGTTTCGTCATGTGTCCATGAACTGTCCGTGAACTTATCTAAGTTATTGTAATGGTACGGTGTGTTCTATCTCATTATGTGTGTTAAAAAAATGTCTGTGCCCAAACTTATCATTTCTTCCCTAAACAAGTCATGAAGTTCAAGAACTTGTGGTTTTCATTAATGAAAATCGTAGGGGGTGAGAAGCCCTCTGTTTCATTCAAACAAAAAGTCATGAACTAACATGTAAATTTATTCCCTTTAAATCCTAAACCAAGTGCCACTCTAACCCTAAACCAAGTGCCACTCTGACCAAAATCATGTGGTAGTGCAACATACATTTTCAACCTTGCAACCCTCCAAAATTTAAGTGCAAAACAAAGGAAAACCACTCTCACGCGTGTGCAAACATTCACGGTCTCACTATTTTTTTAAAAAAAAATTCACAGTCTCACTATGTATACCTTCCTTCCCTACCTATGTCATCTTGCCATCTGTCCTAGCGGTTACCAGCGCAGCCCTAAACACCACAAACCCACGCGGTCCTGGGTTCGAGTCCCCAGCCGCACCAATTTTTTGTGCATTTTTCACCCTTCATTTTTTTATACATATTATGTTTTCCTCAATGTAATGCCCTTAAAAAATATTCATTTATTTTGGCACCTGGCGTAAACCTCTACCAGAGCTGAGGCACATTTTTCATGACATTTTGGTCTTTGATTTAAATCACGGTGTATTTGAATTGGATTAATTAACAGCTCCAAAAAATTTATAACCTTAATTGTTTGGCTCCGGAATAATTCAATTAGCTTCCACAAAAAGTTTCAGCATTATGATTTACTGCCTAAATTAAATCAGAATAGAAAACAAAAAAATACGCAAGAAAACCCCTGAATGGGCCTAATTGGATGCAGTTGGCCCATTAGTCTAGCCTGCACTTGGCTCTACGCTCTGAATTTGGCCCAAGAGCAACCTTTTTTTCGGACAGAAAGGCAGAGCAGAGAGCTGCATTTCATTGATCAAAAGTTTCTGAATTCCTAATTTCTTCTCTTTTTTCCAACATATTTAAATGTTGGTCACTTCTTCTTTTTTTGTTTCAACATTTAAACAACTTTAACCAACATTTAAACTAGGTGAATTTCTCAAACAATTTCAAGATTACAAATTCCTTCATAATTCATGCCTTTCCATACATTTTCAATATTACAACCAGTGCGATTACCATACCTACAAATGCCCAAAAGTATTTGCAAATGGGTATTGGTAGTGCTTGATCTTCAAGCTTCCTAACCTTCTTCTTCAACATCCTAAGCTCAATAGCTAGCTCTCTGTCAGTGCGTGCTTCGCCATCCATCTCTTCTTCCGGAGCTCGTGGTGTGGCCACTGCCGTTCGTGGCAGCATGCGCAACCATTCTTCATGCTCTTCTTGCAGTTCATTCATCAGAGTCTTGGCCAGAGCATCGACCCAAAGAAAGAAGCATGTCACCTGCATGAACACTAAACAGATCAACCCATTGCTCAAACACCCCGACGACGAAAATGGTGCAATTGCCCCGATTCTTACCCCATTCTCGCTGCACACGTAGAACGGACGATTCTGGTTCCTCGGTGTCTGAGAAACCCTTCGATCAACGCCCGCCCGGCACTGCGGACAGACGAAGACAGGCATGTCCACACGCGCCCGGCTCTGCATCCGCGAGGTGGCGCGGGAGCTTGAGGAAGACATGGAGCTCGGAGCCGAAGGGGATCTCAACGCCACCGCGCCCTCCACTGCTAGCTTCCCACCGCCGCGCCCTCCACAGCTAGCTTCCCGCCGCCGTGCTCTCTCTCTCGTCGTGGTCACCGCCGTGCTCTCTGTCGCCGTGGTCACCGCCGCTGTCGCCCGCTTATATAGCACACCCGCCAACGGCTCTCTGCTCAACGGCTCTTTGCTGGGTCCCACAAGCCACGCGTGCAACGGTCTGAATAAAATTGGCCGTTTCTGCCGCCTGGTCCCACCTGTAAGGGCCGAGTCAAAAGGTTGACCTGACGGAGACGGCAGAGTTCACGGAACGAGTCGGTGCGCACGGACTAGGGGCAAAACTGAGGACAATTCGCATCTGAGGGCAAAACTGAGCACATGGACAACACTGAGGGCAAAAGGATAATTAACCCATATTTGTATCATTGTTTTTGGTCTTCTTGGGATCTCGACCCTTGTGGTTTTTTCTTCTCTGAAGACCTTTTGGATTATATGGTTGTTCTCCAATTTTGGGTGAATTGCTTCTCTATACCTTGATTTAGTATACAAAACTTCAATATCTACTACGGTGTCGTACGTACTTCCCTCTGCTCTTTTTATTTTATTTTATATAAGACAGTCATACCTGTCCTTTCCTGTGTGTGCATTGTTGTCAAATTTATGCATTTACTTCAACTATTTGAATCTTTTATCCTTACAAATTAAGAAGACCATCAGGTAAAATCGAAGCCATTTTGTGGTTTGTGTGTACCGGAATGATGGGTAGATACCCTTTTAATTTCGTCCCAGGCATACCAAGCTCCTGGAAGACAAGGACGATGGGTCTCCACCTCGACCTTCCAATACCCCTTCCTTTACTTTGTGGAGGGTCCTCGTGGAGTGGTTGGCCTCAGGGATAATGCCGAGAACATCTTATTGGACGAGACAAAAGATGTGTGCAGTGGGTATGAGAGTGGAGAAGTTGTACCAGAGGGACCCGGCCAACAATGATCGTCTCATAGTGGTGTATCCAGTTAAGGTGCATAAAATTCAAGAATGTGAGAAAAGAACAGAGCAAATTTCTAAGCCCAATAGATTTATGTGTAGAAAGATGCTTTTGCATCCACATATTATTGCAACTCTTCGTTTCAGCCCGGGCAACGATGAACTAGGTCGTAGTCGTGTAGCCCGGACACAAGCAAAGCAACATCTGTTCAAGCTTATCTTTTCAGAACCGCAATATATTCTTCCAGACTTTCCTCCGTCCTTTTCTCTGGTTTTAATCTTAGCGTATTCACGTCCAGGAAACCAATGAAGATTGCTGCAAGATTTGTCAATGAAGAGGTCAAAGGATGCAAGCAGAGTAGGATCAATACATAAGATATCTCTTTCGCAAAATAGAAATATCTCTTTCGCAAAAAAGAAAACATAGATATCTGGCCCAGTGAGCATGCATTTTGTCTGGACAAATACAACAAATACTAAATAGACAGCATGCTGCAGATACCAAGAAACATATAAAAATACTGCTTTATGAAATCTCACCTTTTAAATTCAAATAGATGAGAATAAACTACTTTGTTGAGACATGCTCTCTATGGTTCCACTAACATATAGTTTTGCCCAGATCTAGAGGAATTACATGTGCTAATGTCGACATAGCACCTCGGTAGCAGCTCTTACCTAACAATCCCACTGGCAATCTATGCTGCACTATAGTGAGATCGCATCGGCCGTGTCAAACTTTGCCTCCACAGACAACTTGAATGCACTACAGTGAGACCGCATCGGCCGTGTCAAACTTTGCCTCTCCATGAGTCTAATCGACATCATAGAAGGGAATATGAAATTGCTAACTCAAAACCAACTAGGACCTCACTATCACCAACCAAGCCACCCCTTGTATTAGTCCATATATAGATACATGTAACTTCAAGCTACGCAAGCAAGGCATGTAAAGAGCTCTTGAGAACATAGATATAAGGAAACAGAAGAAGCAAACACGGGAGAGAGAGAGAGAGAGAGAGCTAGGGTGAGAGTCCAGCCCACCGAGCATGGCCATCGAGTTTGCCACGGGGGCGATGCGCTCCCTCATTCCCAAACTGGGGGAACTGCTCCTGGATGAGTACAACCTGAAGGGAACTGTGAAGAAGGGGATTAGGGACCTCAAGGCCGAGCTCGAGACCATGCAAGCTGCTCTTGAGAAGGTCTCCAACGTGCCATTGGACCAGCTTAATTCACAAGTCAAGATCTGGGCCAATGAAGTCAGGGAGCTATCCTATGCCATAGAGGACAGTCTTGACTCATCCATGGTGCGCATAGATGGTCTTCAGCCTACAAAACCACGCACCTTCAAGGGCTTCATCAAGAAGACCCGCAACAAGGTCAGCAGGTTCAAGATCCGCCATAGAATAGCTGATGACATCAAACACATTAAGATTCAAGTTAGGGAGGTCAAGGAACGGTTTGAAAGGTACAAGATCAACGATGTTATGTCTAATCTCGCCACAACGACAGTTGACCCTCGTCTCTTGGCTATGTACAACAAGGTATCTGACCTTGTTGGCATTGACAAGGCGATGGATGAGCTAATGAGGATGTTGCCTGAGAAAAGTGAATTGTTGAAGAATCAACCACTCAAGACTGTCTCCGTTGTTGGATTCGGAGGATTAGGCAAGACAACTCTGGCTAGAGCAGTTTATGACAAGCTTAGCAGTTCATCCACTTGTAGGTGTTTTGTACCAGTGGGTCAAAACCCTGACACGAAGAAAGTTCTTAGGGACATACTCCATGAACTTGACAAGGAAAAGTACATAAACATCACTGCATCAAAAATGGATGCAAGGCAGCTCATCGATGAGGTGCGTGGATTTCTTGGGAACAAGAGGTACGCACTTAATACACTACCATATGCTACTCAAGTCCTTCTATGCAACCTATCCTCATCTAGTTAGAATAGATTACTAAGTTGGCTAAGTATTCCCTGACAACATGTTGCATCAATTGGGTACGGTATAATATCTTCACCATACTATGGAACCGACAGGTGGTAGGCCAGTAAGACCTGTTAGTGGCATCAGTGGTTGGATATTGGAGGGAAAGCACCAGAGCATCCATAGCAGATCTTCCTTACGCAAATGTCATCTTCTCTCTTCCTCCCATCTCTTCTACTAGTGGACTCACTTTCTTCATCTGTCTAGCTACCGACCCATTCTCGTGGTAGGATCTCGTGATAATTTGATAAAGTGTGGTAATTTAAGTTGAAATTTGTTATCGAAGCTAAATGTCTGAAGATGTGAGATCAGAGTTTGATATGAATTAAGTTGCTACATAAAGTATCTAAGCCTACTGACCGTATGAAAATACCACCAAATTTCCACTTTGAATTACTATTTTTGAAGACGGATGTTACAAATGAAAGATTCAAATGTACACCTTGTCAAATATGCAACCTATAAACATATGAATGAGGTGACCCTGTTTCTAGAAGCAAATTGGAGAAAATTGCTAAATTATGGATTTTCGTGATCCTAGCTAGGGAGCTTTTCTCCCTCTTTTTGTATTACGTGTTTCATTAAGCATTGGTATTTATGATTTTTAACGGCTTTCTTTTTTGAGAGTCGGTCTGTTTTATGCAGAGTTGGCATGCTTCTTGTTTTACTTGCACTACTATGTATTCTAGACAAATTGTTTTGGTAATTCAAGTCTTCTGCCTTCTCATGAAAATAGGTACTTTGTCGTTATGGATGACATATGGGATATACCAACGTGGGAAGTGATAAAGTGTGCTTTACTGGACACTAAATCTGATAGTAGAGTAATCACAACTACTCGTAATATTGAAGTTGGCAAGAGAATTGGTGAAATTTATAACATGAAACCGCTTTCCAATGTTGACTCCAAATCCTTATTCTATACAAGAACATGTGGTGGTGAAGGAGTAAGTTCAGATAACCAACCTGCTGAAGTAACAAGCAAGATTTTAAAGAAATGTGGTGGTGTGCCATTAGCTATCATTACAATGGCTAGCTTGCTTGTTGGTAAACGAAGTGAGGATTGGTCTAAGGTTTACGATGCCATTGGCTTTGGGCATGAAGACAACGAAGTTGTTCATAACACAAGAAAGATATTGTCTTTTAGCTATTATGATCTCCCTTCCGATCTAAAGACATGTTTATTGTATCTAAGTATGTTTCGTGAGGATAGCTTTATTGAGAAAATACCACTCATATGGAGGTGGGTCTCTGAAGGTTTTGTACCTGATAGAGAAGGAATGGGGTCATTTGAGGTGGGAGAGATCTATTTCAATGAGCTAGTAAACAAAAGCATGATCCGATGGATAGAATTTGATGAACGTCGGAAAGTTCTAAGTGGTTGTCATGTCCATGACATGGTGCTTGATCTCATTCGCACAATATCAAATGATGTGAACTTTGTTACAGTAGATGCCATGGAGAAGAATAGCATATGTTCGCAAGGCAAACAAACCAATAAGGTTCGCAGATTAGCACTTCACGGAGGAAGTGTGGAACACAACTCTAGCATTCGAATGGAATGGGTGAGGTCATTTACTGCTATCTCGTGCAGTGATAGTGGAATGCCTCAACTGTCAATCTTTAAAGTATTACGTGTACTAGTTATAGAGGATTGTGTTTTTCCTGAAGGCCATAGTCTCAAGGATCTTGGCAAGTTGGTCCAGCTGAGGTACCTAGGACTAGTGGGGACGTCGGTCAAGCTCCCGGAAGGAATAGGGCATGATCTAAAATTTCTTGAGATATTGGACGTCAGGGGAGGTACCATAAGTGAGTTGCCATCATCTATTGGTGAGCTAAAGAATTTGAGGTGCTTGTGGGCTGATAAGGGTACAGAGATGAAGGGTGAGATAGAGAAACTGACATGCCTTGAAGAGTTGCAGCTTTATTCGGTGGACAAATGTCCAAACTTCTGCTCTATGGTGGGGAAGCTAACAGAGTTGAGGGAGCTCAACATCCATTTCAACCAAATGGCAGAGACGGCGGGCAAGACTCTGGTGGAGTCTCTGTGCAACCTGCGCAAGATCCGCAGCCTGGCTACCTGGCCTCATGGTGTATCCTCGCATGTTCTGGGTGGTAGCTTGGAATACTTCGCACCCAGTTCAAATCTCCGTTTGTTCCATATGTTGAGGATACTTATACCCAAGATGCCATCGTGGATCAATTGTTTGCGTGTTCCACTCCTTTTTCGCCTGTGTTTGCATGTGGAGGTGGTAGAAGCTCAGGATATTCAAACCCTTGGAAGGTTACCGTCGCTCCTCCAACTCATGCTCAGAGTGGAGAAAAGGTGCACATCATGTACTTTTGGCAGCGATGAGTTTCACAAACTGAGTTTGCTGAAGACCAATATGGAGATCTGTATTGGACAAGGAGCATTGCCGATGCTTAAAACGCTGGCATACAGTGCCAGCGCTCGAGAAACGGATGTGGCCAGCTTGGTAACCTTGTTGACATGGAGTGGGAATTGCCCTTTGCTGGAAAACATCAGCTGTTCTATTAACTGCGCTAACAGTGGGAATGTGGAGATACTGGAGGCAGCGCTGATGATCGCCGCCAAACATCATCCCAATTATCCCAAGCTCAAGGTAGAAAGAGAGAACTACGTCCGACCAGAAGGCAGGTCGAGAGGTAGTGCACCGCACTACTGCAAACAAAGAAGAGGTAAGTACACACTACATCATGTTGCACTACAGTATATAGAGAAAATAATATACATATATATATATATATATCATGTCACTGACGTCCGGCCGGCCGGTTTTCTCTCATTAATCTGCAGGCAGGCATTGATGTTGCCACTATTTTCTCTTCCTTCAGTCAGGAGGGGATGACTCAACCTTAAATTGCACTCGCACTATTCCCCTTCCCTCAGTCATGCAATCAAGCTGGTATACTATAGTACTATGCCTCCTCTGTCTTCACCTCCTTGTTTCTTCAACTTGTATATATTCGTCAACATGCACTCAAATATATATATGCCAACTTATTTATTTTGCATCTTTCCCAATTGATTAATCTGGACGGATTTTGCTAAGAAACTTCCCGATTTACTATTCCAAATTTGTATTTTTATTGGTGATTTTGAACTCCCAATTTGAAGGTTTCCACGGTTTTGTTGCCAACATTTGGAAGACCTCTTAACTCAGCATTCGTTGAGCTTAATTTGTCCATCAGTGCCGAAAATGTCATATAACAAAATAGTTGTCGCCTTTAGCATGCATTAGACTAGTAAGAAAAAAATTAGCAAAACATGTTTATTTGGTTGTAGAGTGATTTTGGGGGGAAAATACAGCTTCATAACAAGAAAGATAATTAGTTGCTTATTGCTTTTGCTTTAGAGTTGGCGTTTTGTTTAACACTAAATAAATGTTTGTCTGTTTTGCGCCGTCAGAATAGTTTTTCGGTTAAAATAACTTGGCTCATATGTAGCAAGAAAAATACTAAAATGAAAAGAGGGTTTTATTATCTTTGTACCATATGTCTCTTAATTATTTGATAAATCCAAAAAAAGGAAAAAAGGGGAAAATGGCCTTCATTGTCTTTTTAGGTTTGTTTTTTGCGTTCATCCTTTTTCTTTTCACTTTTTTGGGAGGGTGTGTGGGGAACTCCGCCTATGCCATTTTAAAGTAACATTTATAATTGCATGGCCGGTCTCAAGCCCGGGAAAAGGAGGAGAGACCACCAATGTGCTTGTAGAGTGTGCTTGTAGAGGGTAATACAGTAATATACTTTAGAGCATCCATGAGGTAGTTGGTATGGCTAGCTTTGAGTCTTACCGTCATTCGTCAACCCCCGATCGGTGACGCGGAATAAGTTAATAATGCAACTTGCATTCAGCTTTCATTTTCGGGAAAGGAGGGAATAATGCTCCGGACGTCCGCAACCAGCCAGGATAGCATACCAGGCAGAACCTGCTCCAGCTTGTTAACTTGTCCTAATCCACTATGAATCATAACATATGGTTATAATTTTTCGCGATAGGAAATGCAGTGGACATCATGATAGAGAAGGTTAGGCATCTTGCAACTCTTATGCATGGTTCTATGCCCAGTTTGTAGTTCAGAAGACAGTGACGATGTGCACGAGAATAACTCCTGTTGTCTGAACTTACATTTTCTACTGCCGCCCTTCTTAATTAATCCTGTCTACAATCTACTGTCATATTATTGATCATGCATGCGCGGCTGTTGGTCGGGCCCTGTCATGCGCATATGTAGTAGTACAATAAACAAGTGGCAGTTAACAAATGCAACATCATCATCGCTAGGTGTGCTCCCATGTCTTGATTACCGATCTAGTAACTGTACTCTATATGATTAGGAGTCATTTCTTCCAGACCCTTGGTAAGTTAGCATGTGTATATTGCTAACTAACTGCCAATCATAACGACATTAGACTCATCACAGAATAACTTAACCAGTCAAGACTAAACTCGTCACACCAATCTTTTTTGAAAGGTGGGCAGTGTTCACACCAAACAAATGTTCCTCCCGCCCAGGTAACTAAACAAATATCAGTTAATAAATGCAATCTTATTGTGTTTGATAATCATGCAGTTTTGAATACCTTTACCAGTAGGTGGACCTTCTGTGGTTGTATGTCTTGTGGCGGTTTGCTTTATTTATAAAGCGGGGCGAAAGCCTTTTTCGGTAATACCTTTACCAGTAGGTGGTAACAGACCAGCTGAAACAATATATGTAAGGAGGCAGTAGTGTTAGGTAGCTGGACATGACAACTAGAATTACTAGATGGATACCCAGCGCGTTGCTTCAAAAAATATTATTGCAAGCAGGCACAAACAAAAACCAAATGAAGCTATTAATTCTAGCTTGTGAGTTTTGAGTACAAAAATATTACTCCCTCCGTCCCATAATATAAGAGTGTTTTTGACACTAGTGTAGTGTTCATATTTCCTTTACGATGGATCGGATAAAAATTTGAATCCAATCAACACCTTAGGGAAGATAAATAAAAAATATTCTCAAGACCCTTAGTTAAATCGAGATTTGCTGCAACTAGTAATGTTTGCAACCAAGATCTTGGTTTCTTGGTTGAGAAGATGTATCACACTTTTTTTTGTGGATGAATGCAGCCTTGGCTGCTGCATTCAATTAAAGTCTGGGCTGTGGGATCCTGCGTTGTGTTTCTTATAGTAAATTTACAAGTGTGCACATCTGATTTGAGTGTGCATGACATTGTTTACAGAGTATCAAATAGACTAACAAGCAAGAAGCTGGTGCAAAATACTGAATTTGGTCCAGCAATATAGTTTCTTTCTCTCTTTTTTTGTCCAAATAGTAAAGCTTTAGGGGAACTTAAGCTACATCACCACAGGTTAAGATGCATTCATGTTCATATTATTTTCCATATTGTTGAATGAGATGGAGAGATTGGACGGCCTTGCCGTTGCCGTTGGGAATCTCCTCGGAAGCATGCATTGGATCCGCAGCCCCATGAGCTGAGCTCCGGCTGAACAAGTGGATGTAGGCAGGGCTTAATTAGGGAGAAAAACTGCAGCTAGGGTTTAATCCCGCAATAAAGAAGAGGGGAGAAATTAAATTGGGAGAGGAGGGGAAGGAGAATATCTCAAACATGTGAAACCGTGGGACGAATCAAATTCAATCGGTCGGTGGCCGCCGCCGGGGACGGGCGCCTCAGGTCGCCGGCGCCGCTCCTTTCTCTGTCGTAGCGGTGGAGGAACCGGACAGGGTGAATTGTTTTTTTTTGACACCGATAACGGGTCCTCCTAATCGGCGCCCTCAGCGCTCGCTTTTTTTTTGAAAGTAGCGCCCTCAGCGCTCGCTACTGTTCTGACTAGAGAGCGAGAGAGACAATAGACAGAGAAGTAAAAGTGAATTGTTGTTCTCATTGATGATGGAATTACACATATATATAGCCCCCGAAGGGGTGCGTCCGAAGTGACACGAGACAACCGTCTCGATTAAGAAAAGCAGGGATTAATAGGATTAATTAAATCCCGACACTCCCCCTAATCCATGCTTGTTAGTGTAAGTATCATCATCTTGAAAAAGCTCCTCCAAAAACCCTGTGGGAAAAATATGAGGAGATAGGTGTTTGATATATTGCTAAACTCCTTCAAACCCAGTGGGAAAAATAAGGAGAAAATGCCACAACATTATATCATTGTCTCTTTTAACTCAATACGAGAAAATTCACAGAGTTTAGAGGACAATAAATATGTCATATATACTTTCCCAAAAACCCCGGTGGGGAAAACAGAAAGTATAACATATGATCTCATGTTGATATTACCTCATTAAAAATGTTTATGAGAATATGTAAAGTAAACTCATGAAAGGAAAAAGAGTATAATATGATGCATTGAACATAAACAATTCAGGAAAATACTCCCCCTATTCTTGCAAAATTCGAAGCCGTCACATACCAAAACATAGAAGTTGGTAGAGACCCGCTGAACAAATCAGTCGCATGATTTGACTTGCAAGATAAGCAATATAGTGATATTGCTTATTATGTAACCTGTTTGCATCCGGGCAACACAAGAAACATTATCGTTGATATAATGGTTGGTGAATGTAGCCATAAGGTCTATTTCGAAGACTCTTCATGAGGGGGCTACCACACCTAGTAGGAACACTAAACTTGTCTATGATCTGACATAGTGGGGATCTGATTGATGTATCCAATGATATCGGTGTTCACATGTAACACCCCGGTGTAACGATGCTACAGTAACCCCTGGGGTTAAGTTAATCTTTTTGCTAAATATGTGCCTGATCATTATTGTCTCATGTTCTTTCACAATTCCAGTTGAATTCAAATTCAAATTTTGTCTGAAATTCAAAATGCTCAGACATGAAAACAAAAATGTTCATCATGCGCAGAATAATCCACAACTAATTTTGGTGGTGAACCAACATTTTTGCAAAAAGGTTTGAGTGGCCTAAGCTACTTCAAACAGTGGCCTAAGAAATAAATTAAATGCCTTTTTAATTTATGAAAATGGCAAACTATTTCTAAAGCCTCACAATCTTTTTTGGCAGTGCCTAATAATTCTTTGAGATTATTTTGTCCAATGGCATAATCTTTTACAAAGTCTTTATTGGCTAAAAGAAAAAAGAAAAGAAAATGCAAAAGCTGTTTAAAAAAAAGGAAAAGAAGAGGGGGTGGGAGAGCCCTGGCCTCCCCTTGGGCCTCGGCGACCCACAGCCCCTGCCCCCCCCCTTGGCCCCCAACCAGCCCAGCCGGCCCAACCTCCCCGGTCGCTCTCCCGTACCCCTGTTCAACCGACCGAGGGCGCGCGCCGCGCGTCGCCGCCGAACCGCCTCGCCGTCGACGAGGAGGATAAGGTTGCCTCCCCCCCCCTCGACGCCTCGGCCTCCTCCCCAC